GCAGTCATGGTGTCTTCCTGCTTCAAACGCCCTTTCAGTTTTTGTTGGGGTGAGCCTGGGCACACACGTGCCATTGGTTTATATATCTGTACGACTATAGATGTGTGCCGATATATTCATATATCTATAGATGTATATAGACATAGTTATGTGTGTGTGCGCAGCCTCTCCCCCCCCAGCAGCCATTCTACGCCTTCTTCCGTTCCACGAGGCTGGAGTCGTGCCGCTCCCCTCCTGTATCCCTTCCCTACCCGCGCCTTTTCTGTTTCTTTTTCTTCTTCGCTCAAGCCTTCCCCCGCATCCGCTATCGGCACATGTTCCACAAGCGCCAACGTGACACATGCAAGCGTTTGTTTTCTCCACATGGAGGGGGAACAAGCGTGTGAGCCATCGGCACACGAGAAATCAACAACCCTGTGATTTCACTTGGTTTCCTGAGGTTTCTGGGATGCAAATCGACGACACTTTCTGTTTTCAATGGGATTCCTGGGATTTCATACCCTGGAGCAACACCAACCGAGGGATCCCAAGGAAGCTCAAGGTTCAGAATCCCAGGAATCCCCGTGAAATCACAAGGCTCGCGAGGTCGGCGATGCGCAAACCCTATGATTTCATTTGGATCCCTGGGATTTGTGGGATGCAAATCAACGAAACCTTCTGATTTCATTCGGAGTCCTAGGATTTCTGGGATTTCATACCTTGGAGCAAGACCGATCTTGGGATTCCCAGGAAGTCCAGGGTTCAGAATCCTACAACCCTCGTCAAAAATAAACTGAGGGATTCTGTTTTCGGTGATTGTATGGTCAGCGCTACTCCAATGCTGACGCTAGATATCTGACGTGGACGCAAGGGCTTCAAAAATCCGACGACCCCTCCGCAGCATTGAAGAACGCAATTTCTAGCGAGTGCCCGAGAAGATCGATCGCTGTGCTTTCCATCTGCGTTTCTGTTTATTTTTGACGAGGCTTGGCCGCTGTAATAATCAGTGTTCACCCCAAACAATAGGTTCTTATATTATCTTGGCACCATATGTGCGGTGCAATGTACATCGCGCTAAACTGCCACGCGCGGCACCCAAGAAACTCGAGCACGGCAGCCGCGGAAGACGCGCGGGGCCGGCGGCGGCGGCGCGGCCGACGGCGGGGGGGAGGCACCCATCTACTTGGTCCTATCAAGGAGATATGCTTCTGGACCCCCCCGCGGCAACCTGGCAGCCGCCCCTGGACCCCCCCGCGGCAACCTGGGGGCCGCCCACTCGGCATGCGCTTTGATGCAGCGCGGCGAACACCGCAGTAACTTCGGCATACTATTTGTACAACAACTACCCACCCTTGCCCACCAGAGTGTATTTTTTGCAAAGGATTATGGCCGGGTAGTTGTTGGTACTAACCAACAACTACCCGGCCGCCGCCCACTCGGATTGCATTTTTATATAGCGCGGCGGTCACCGACGTCACTTCGACATACTATTTGTACAACAACTACCCACCCATGTCCACCGGAGTGTACTTTTTGTTACTGATTATTGCCGGGTACTTGGGTAGTTGCATTTTTCTAAAAGGATAAAATGCCCCCCGTTTCGTTTCTTTTAAAAATTTGCAACTACCCAAGTACCCGGCAATCGTACGTGACAAAAAATACACTCCGGTGGACATGGGTGGGTAGTTGTTGTACAAATAATATCTCGAAGTGACGTCGGTGACCGCCGTACTATATAAAAATGCAACCCGAGTGGGCGGCGGTCGGGTAGTTGTTGGTTAGTATCAACAACCACCCGGCCATAATCCTTTGCAAAAATACACTCTGGTGGGCAAGGGTGGGTAGTTGTTGTACAAATAATACGTCGAAGGGACTGCAGTGTCCGCCGCGCTAAATCAAAGCGCATGCCGAGTGGGCGGCGGCGGGGTAGTTGGACAAATACCCGCCATCATCCCTTGTAACAACCCTCCTTTGGGCGGCGGCGGCGCGAAAGCTCCCAGCCGCGCAAATTTCCATAACATTGGAACGTCTACCTGCGATTTTGCACCGTCCCTTCTCCTTAGCTGCGCCGGTTCCGACACAACGACCTAAACGCGTCTTCCGTGTTGTTGACCTAGCGATTTGCTACTGTTACGCTGCCACGGACGCCGAGAATCGCGCGAAAGCTCCCAGACGCAAGAATTTCTATAAGATTGGAACGTCTACCCGTGATTTTGCACGACCTCCTTCTCCCTAGCTGTGCCGTATCCGATTCAACGACCTATACGGTCTTCCGCGTTGTCGACCTAGCGGTTTGCTAATTGTTACGCTACAGCGGACGCCGAGAATCGCGCGAAAGCTCCCAGACGCACGATCTTCCATAACATTGGAACGTCTACCCGCTATCTTACACCAGGTGATTGTGGCGTCGATGGCTGAGGTGTCGATGGCGCAGACGACGATGCCGATGATTTATCTGTCTCGCCCCCCCGAATCTGTTCAGTTCAGCGCCGCGCGACAAGGGGTGGGCGGCTGTCTGGGCGGCGGCAAGCTAGTCGCTAAACGCGAACTAATTATCCAGCCGAGCGGACGGACACGTACTGCGCATTAGCGAGAGAAAGCGGCTTAGAAGCCTATAAGCGAACAACCCTCGTCAAAAATAAACTGAGGGATTCTGTTTTCGGTGATTGTATGGTCAGCGCTACTCCAACGCTGACGCTAGATATCTGACGTGGACGCAAGGGCTTCAAAAATCCGACGACCCCTCCGCAGCATTGAAGAACGCAATTTCTAGCGAGTGCCCGAGAAGATCGATCGTTGTGCTTTCCATCTGCGTTTCTGTTTATTTTTGACGAGGCTTGTAGGAATCCGAGTGACATCGCAAGGTTCGAGACGTCGGCGATGTGCAATACCTATGATTTCAAATCGATTATTGCTGGGATGCTAATCAACGAAATTCGGCGATGTCATTGGGGATCCTGGGATTTCATACCCTGGAGAACAACCAACCTTGGGGTCCCCAGGAGGTCCAAGGTTCAGAACCCCAGGAATCGTGATGAAATGACAGGGTTCGCCGCCCCGGTGGTGCGCAAACCTTGCGATTTCACTTGGGTTCTTTGGAGATCTGTGAGGCTAATTAACGAAACTGTTTGATTTCATAACCTCATGCCCGTGAGAATAAACATTAGGGGATAATAAAGTTCGGGGTTCAGGGAGAGATGATAAAAGTAGCCCAGCAGACCTCAGCATAATCTCGAAGTAAGAGATGATCAAGAGGAGACCAAGCCGAGCACGTTTTGAGACATCCTTGGCGTTTAGTTTTCATAGAAATATATTCAACAATGGCTTATCTCTCATGAAAATTGTTTTCTGTAAGTGCTCGTGTAGGGTAGCTCATGTGCCTCAATTTCCATGGATAATCAACCCCAGAGATAAAACAGTTCAGGCGAGCGTGGGGACAGAGAGAAATATAAAAGAAGAAGAATACAGTAGAAGAATAATAAGAAAGAATAAGAAGAGGAGAATAAGAAGAGGACGAAGAAAGGAAAAATCCAAAGTTCCAAATCTATCAATTTTAATTTACAAACGCTTAATGAAAATTGTTGGTTTTTAAGTGCTCGTGTAGGGCAGCTCATGTGCTTCATTTTCCATGGATAATCAACCCCAGGGATAAAAAAGTTCAGGCGAGCGTGAGGACAGATAGAAATATAAAAGAAGAAGAAGAGGAAAGTAGAAGAATAATAAGAACATTGCTCGTTTCGTTTGAGTCTGCCTCCCAAAATTATTGGTTTCGCTTGACACATCCTGAAAAAGTGTGATCGCTTCGCTTGATGTTGTTATATCAACATCGCTTGATGTTGCTATCTCAACAT